GGCAGCCATTGGAACGCGTCTCGCACGACCCGCCTCATGGTAACCTCCACCCATGGTCTACTTCTGCACCTTTGCCCAGTTTAGGGCTCGGTGGGAGTGGACCATGCAGAGTCTGCCCTGGGCCTGACTTATTTCACCAGTACATGTCCTCCAGGCCCATCTGTGGGGGAGGGCATTTCCTGTGTAAACCAAGAGCTCAGAAGCAAGGAGAGAAGGCAGCAGGGGACCACTGAGCCCGGCTTGGACAGGCTCCGCCCCTGGATGCCTCGATGACCAGCAAAAGCTTGAAAAGCCGCCCAACCTCATTCCCAGTCACCAGTTGCAGTTGAAACCCGCGAGTCACCACCACCTGCCTGGGAACACCATGAATCCAAGACTGGCCTTGGGAGCGCTGGTGGGTGCAGCAGTAGGATCCCAGAGCTGGCGGGGTGCAGACCAGGACCCCCTCCGAAAGTGCACAGTCCTACCCTGACTGAACGCAGGCCCCACGCCCACGCAGCAGAAACCTTGCCCAAGGGACCAGACACACCTGCGAGGGCACCAGCCATGACGGTCAGCAGCCCTTCAGAACCAGCCCTGTGCCCATCAGCGGGAGGCTCCTGGGGCAGGCTCTGCACCGTGGTGTTGTGAGTCGCCCTGGCTGCAGCCACGCCCCGGGGAGCCTCCAAGCCGGAGGTGGAGCTTGGAAGCCAGATGGGCGGAGCACGGACAGAGCGGCTGTGTTGGTGAGGGCTGAGGGTGCAGGGGACGTCCTGCTGCCCGCCGTGGGAGCCCCCAGAGGAAGGAAGCTAGGTCCTCCATGAGGCTGGAGGGGGCCCCCGCTGTCTCCGGCCCCAGGTGATGGGTGTGCGGTGGCTTTGAGGTCATGCAACGAGCTAGCAGACTTGGGGTACTTTTCTGCATGTGTCGCCCTTCATAATAAAAATGACCTTGAAAACATAAAAGCACCCAAGCTTGCCAGTCCTCAGCAGGCCCAGCACCCCGCATGCTCTCGGGTCGGAGCAAGCCGTCCTGGGGAGCCGTGGGCGTGTGCACGCGGGTGGGCTGGGCACTTCCCTCTTACCTCTGCTCACCTGGGTTTGGAGTGGCCACCAGCTCTGGACCTGAGCAGGTAGAACTCAGCTCTTTGGGGACAGGGAGGTAAGTGTGGCTTGGGACCAGTGTGTGGGTGAAGACAGGCGGTCAGCGGAGAGCGTGTGGGCAGCCCAGGAATAGGGGGCCTCCCAGTTAGGGGCTCTAGAGGGAGGGAGGGTGGCCCCGGAGTGCAGGAGCGGAAGTCTCTTCTCCTGAAGAAGGAGCAGGTCAGAGGTGGAGACTGGGGTGGAGAGGACAGGGCCTCCACTTCCTGGGGGCTCTCCTGGTCTGGGTGTCCCCAGAGCCTCATGGTCCCAGAGAGGGGCTGAAGATGGCTGGGGTATCACGGACAGCACGAGCCTACCCTAGTGGAGGAGCGTTGCTGATGTGGACGCTGCTCCTCCAAACCAGAGAGGACCCTAGCCTCAGGGAGCCCAGTGGTGAAGTGCAGCCCCTGCCACCCCTCTCCTTTCTGGGTCTCACACCCCAGGCTTCCCGGCATTCCCTGGCATTCCCTGGCATTCCCCGCATTCCCGGGCATCCTGGGGTCTGGTTTGGAGTGACGTGGCCAGCCTGAGCCCAGAGTCCCAGAACCAAGCTGGACTTCTAGGTCCCAAGAAGAATGTATTCCCCGGACACCTGCCATTTTCCGGGCACTGGTGGGCTCTGGGGACACAGCTGTGATAAGCAAAGTCCGTGAGCACACGGAGCTGGCGCTCCAGGGGAGAGAACTCAAGATCCGAATGAACGCCAAGATCAGCTGATGCCTGGAGCCGCGGCTGGCCGGGTCCCTCAGCTCCGTGACGCAGGCAGGGCCCGGGCTTCCGGGAGGGACTCAAGTTTGAGACAAGTTTTAGAGAGCACAGGAGTTTCCCGGGGCCGTTGTGACAGACCATCACCGACTTTGTGGGTTCCAGCCGCAGGCTCTATTCTTTGCAGTCGTGGAGGCTGGACTTGGGCAGTGTCCGCCTGGGCTGAGGTCTTGGTGGCTGCAGTGCGACCCTGCCCTGCCTGTCAGCTGTAGAGGCCATCTGCCATCGGCCCTCCCCGTGGTCGCCAGCCCTTGTGCTCTCCTCTCTGTGTGACCCCTCAGCCCCCTCAGGACCCTGGGATTGCACCAGGCCCCTGTGTGACCCAGGATCACCTCCTCATTTAGCCTCCTTAACTTGATCCCATCTGCAAAGTCCCTTTTGCCACATACGGTGACATCCTGGGGCTCCAGGGGTTGAAGCGGACACTAAGGGGGCCACTTCTCAGTTGGTCTTGGAGGGGAAGGTCAGTGGGGAGGAAGCAGGGCCCTGGGAGAATGGTCCAGGCAGGGGAGTCACAGTACAAACCCAAGGCTGCCCATGAGAACAAGGGCCAGGCCGGGCCAGAAGGGCCTGATGACTGTGGACCAGGGCCTGGGAGGGAGGGTCCGGCGCCCTCTCTGGCAGAAAGCGGCCGGCCCCTCCCCAGGCTGGCCTCAAGCCTGGGCACAGCCCCAGGTGCCCCTCTCCCCTCAGCTGGGAACCTTTCCAGAATGTTCCTCTATGGTCAACATGTGCTGGAAGGAACTGGGGGGTGAGGGGGAGGGTGTCCACTGGCAGGGTGACTGCTGGGGCAGAAGCTGTCCGCCCTCCTGGAGGTCCTGACCTCTTGGAGGTCCCCCTGTTGCAGAGCGGACGTTTGTCCTGCAGCAGCTGTGGCCACAGCTGTCTGAGGGGCAGGCAGTTGCCTGGAGGTCAGCCACAGCCCATGCGAGACCTGGAGCGAGCCCTTCCCTCTCAGGGCCTCAGTGCCCCTTGTCAGGCAGACAATGGAACAGCCTCCCAGGACTCCAGGTGTTAGCGGAGGCCAGGAGTGGGGGCAGCGTGGCTGCTGAGTGCCCTGTTTACAGCCCCAGGGTACACCCAGGGGACAGCGGAGCCCTGTGGGGCGTGGGCCTGAGTTACACAACAATTCTGGCTGCAGCAGGCAGCCCCGAAAAAGTTGTTTTTCACCAACAGCAGCTGGAGGGGCAGCTGGGAGGTCAGCACTCCCCGAGGGAGCTGCCAGGCCTGGGGCCAGGAGGGGGCCTGGGGCCACAGTCCCACCTCCAACAACAGGGCTGCCCTGGACAAGTGGACACATAGCCCTGGCACTGTGAGCTGTCTGAGAGCTGGCCTCCCTCCTGGGGATGGTAACCGCAGCCACCTGGTGTAGAGGCTCAGAGCTGAAGGCCCTGAGGGTCAGCCGGAGTCAGAGCCGAGCCGAGCCTGGCCTGCCGGGCTCAGACCCCACCTCGGCCTCCCCTGCACTCAAGAGCAGCTGGGGCGTGGGGGGGGCGGGCGCGGGACGAGAGGTGGCACCGGGCAGACCCCGGTCAAGAGCCTCCAGGCACTGTCATTGTCCCCACCACATCCAGCTCATCCTCAGGTGACCCCAAACCGTCAAGGACGCAGCATCAACTCCACAGCCGAGGAGGCTGCGGCTCAGAGGGCAGAGCCACCAGGGCCACTTGAGCTCTGCCTCCCACCCCACAGCACTGCTTGGTCTCAGGAGGGAGGCCCGGAGGCTTGGTGGCCCCCAGCAGTGTGCGTGGTGGGCGTGGGAGGAGATACCGCCCTCCGCCAGCTCACTGCCCTCACCCACATGGCCGGGTGTCAGTGTCTGCCCCCTGGGGGGACAGTCTGAGGAGGGGAGGGGTCTTCTACCCACCACACGGAAGGTGCCAATGCAGGGCACCGGCAGGACCCCCGGCCCTGGTTCTGGAAACTGCTAGAGGCCAAGGCTGGGTGAGGGCTTTTCTTGCCCAAGACCTGAGGCTGGAAGTCAACGGAGGAGCTGGGCTTTGTACCCCGTGGCCTGACTTGAGACCCTTTGCAAAACCAGAGGTCTTGGGGACAGGTATGTCCCGATCCTTAGCTGTTGTAGAAACCTGTCTTTATCACAGAGGCCACCGCCTCGGTCTAGGCTCCTACACCCAGCAAGGTGTGCGACACGGGGCCCCCAGGAAAGCGCCGGCTGCTCGGCGTGGGCTGCCCCAACACCCCTCAGACGGACAACTCTGTGCTTGTAAACTTTAATTTCCGTACAGTAGAGAAACACACGGGGGGCGGGCAGCTGTGCAGCGAAGCTCGAGACACACCCGGAGGCACACACGGGAGGAGGTGTCCACCAGAGCCCGCTGCTTCCACCAGGCTCTGTGGGCAAGGCGGGGCCGGCTCAGTCCTGCACTCGGGCGGCTCTCCCCTCCGCCACCTGGGGCTGAACTTCTCCAGGCAGCAGCTGAGTGGGTGCGTCACGTTCTGCTCCCTGCTGCTCCCTGTGCTCCTGGGAGGGTGCACCTCGTGGCCAGTGCAGGGCTCGGCTCAGCAGAGGGTTGTTCACTGGCACCTGCTCCAGGCCAGTCCCTGTTGGACCCTGACCCTGCCAGGGGTCATGGGCACAGCCTGCCCTTTGGGGAGTCTAGGTGGCAGGGCGGGCAGCCCCTGTCATGCCATGGGGGGGCACTGCAGCAGAAGGGAACTGGACAACAGGGTGAGGGAGGTGCTCGTGAAGGAGGAGCAGACGTGGGAGCTGGGACCTGAAGTAGGTGGTGAGTGGGACAAGGGGGACATTTCAGACAGAGGGATGGACAGGTGCAGAGGCAGGAAGCCGAGGAAGAGGGTAGACTTCAGGAACTGCAGGAGTTTTATGGGTTCCAAAGAACTTCGAAGGTGACCTTCAAGAGCAGGTGCACCAGGGGAGCACGGGACTTCCCTTGTGGTGCTGGGATTTGGGATCAAGGCTGAGATCTGGTCCTCCAGCCAGGCCCAGCCTGGGACTCTGCCTCTGGACGCTGGGAGGCTGTGGCGTCCTCCCTGCTGAGGACCACAGGTCCTCCGTCCTGGTCCTGGAGAGGCTCTATCCCTGCCATCTGCAGGGCCTGACCCTGGCGCTTGATGCTGGAGAGGTGGCCCGCCTCACACGACCACCTCGGGCACAATGCTGAACAGGAGGTCATCGTTGCCCCGCTGCACCTCCAGCAGGAGTGGAGACTCTTTCATGATGGCCTCCTGCAGCTCACTTGAGTCCACCAGGGGGCGCCCGTTGACCTTGACGATGATGTCGCCATCTTGGATTCCCCCTCTGCCAAAGGGAGAGACACAGGGGCACTCTTCTCACGGGCCTGGGCTCAGGCCAGGACATGGTGGGGTTCAACAGCAGCCGTTGAACAAAAACCATGTCAGTGAGAAAGAGCAGCCAGCAGACCACGAAGTCCCTTCCCCAGAAGGGAACCAGTGGGTGCGGAATAGCATTCTCCATGTGCCCTACCCCAGGACATGCTGGGCCATCTTTGCCAGGAAGCTCACAGCCACCTGAAGTCAGTGCAGGAGACCTGGCCCAGGCTCCACCCCGCCACCAGGGTCTGCCACCCGCCTCCCAGGCAGCTCCCCGCCTCTTGGCAGAGCCTACCTCTGAGAAGGCGAATTTGGAACAACCTCCTGCACATAAATCCCACTGCTGACCGACGGGAAGTCGGGGTCGCCAGCCTGGAGTTCCTCCACCAAACTGAAAGGACAACTCAGCTGTGAAGCCTCTTCCAAACCCTGGAACCAGCTCCTCGGCATGCAGCTGCCCCGCCCCCTGCCCAGGCCAGACAAGGAGCCTCCCGGGGGCCGCCACACTGCCCTGTCCTGCCACCTGGGCACTCCGTGTCCCCCACGAAAATCTCAATGCAAGGCCCCATTAGAAATGTAGAGGGCAGAGCTGGAGGGGAGAAGGGAGGGTGCACGGGAGGAAGGAGGCGGAGGGAGGGAGGTGATGGGTGATGGAAGGAGGAAGGACAAGTGGGGAGCAGAAAGGAGAGATGGACAGACACTTGGCACGTCCGTCAGGGAATGCTCAGAGGAGACTGGACAGATGGCAGGACGGGCAGGGGACAGAGGAACAGGAAGGACACATGAGCAGGCCCACCAGTGTGGTGGTCTCCATTACAGAGGGCCTCCAAATTGCACCCCTGGAGTAACCCCCTGAAACAGGGAGAGTGTCATTTGGGGACCGTGTGGTGGGGTGGGTATCCCAGTTCTTCCCAGAGCTCCTCGATGCCTGCACGTCCTCCGGCTTCAAACCCTCGGACCTGATTGGTGGACCCCGTCTCCCTCCTCTGCCCACTTCTCCGTCCCACCTGGGTATTTCTGGGCACTGATCACGGTAGGCCTGCCATTGGGGGCAGAGTAGAGTGGGTGGAACACAGTCCTTGCCCCCAGGGGCTCATGGCCAAGGAGGTGGGGAGGGGTCCCACGAACAGTGGGGAAGGCAAAGCTGGGGCTCTGCAAAGAGGGGTGGCCTGTGAGGCAGAAGCGCATCCCCCAGATCCATGCACTCCCAGGACCTCAGGGTGCGACCTTGTTGGAAACAGGGTCTTTGAAGATGGGATCAGTTAAGGATCCTGAGATGATGTCATCCTGATGTAGGGTGAGTCCTAAGTCCAGGGACTGGGGATTTTGTAAGAGAAACAGGAGGGAGATTCGGACACAGACACACAGAGGAGGCCACATGGACACAGAGGAGGGATTGACATGATGTGGCCACAAGCCAAGGACATCCGGAGCCACCAGGAGTGGAAGAAGCAGGAAAGTTACTCCCTGAGCCCCTCAGAGGGGCCCCACTGACACCCTGACAGCAGACTTCGGGTCCCCAGAACCGTGAGCTAACACATTCGGCTGTGCTTAGCCACCCACTTTGTGGTGACTTGTGTGGCAGCCCCAGGAGGGATCCAGAGCAGCACAGGAGGAGTCCAAGCATTGGCCAGGCAGGACCGGGGCAGCCTGAGCAGGGGCACGGAGGGGGCACCCCTCACCTGGGAGTGATGGTCCGCATCCGAATGCCGATGAACCGCTTCTTCCAGTCTGGAAATGAGTAGAGCAGGACTGGGTTACAGCTGCTGAAAAGCCACCGCCCTCCCCAAGAGGACCAGCAGGGGACAGGAGGTGCCCCTTGGGACCAGGAGGCAGCAGGAGCCACCCTGCCTGAGGCAGCCGGCCCCACGTGGCCAGGCTCCTGCATCTGTCCTCTCAAATACTCCCCAGAGCTAGGAGATGCCCCAGCTGCAGTCCCCCATACCACTGCCTTCACGTCCACTCCATCTCTGTTCCACCCATCAGCTCCAACACCCGCTCCCCTTGTTGAGCTCCACACCCAACCCCAAGGGCCCTCCCCCAGCCCCACATTGCCAGTCCCCAGTGTCCTTACTTGGAACTGAACTACCTGCCCGTACACAGTGACACCTGAAATGCCCGGTGAGCACTAGCCATGTGCCAGGCCCACTGAGGTGGCCCCGCCACCCCGCTGCTCCAGCCAGCGATTTAGCAGGTGTCACAGACCCAGAGACTACAGCGACATGTTGTGGACCATCAAACAAGACGCAATTCGTTTCACATTTTCAATTCATAAAAGCTTTCTGACCACAATGGACTAAACTAGAAATCAATAATAGAAATAGACCCAGAAAGTTCTCAGCCAGTTTCAAAGGAGAAATCGAAAGGGAAATGAGAAAGTATTTTCAAAATTGCATAAAAGTGAAAATCTAACCCATCAAGCTTTGTGGGAATAAGGCAGCTCTTACAGGGGAACCAGCTTACTTAAGTGTGTGTGTCACAAAAGGGTGGCCTCAAGTCAGGGCCCAGATTCCACCCAAAAAACACAGAAAGGAGGCCAATGAGACGTCCAGAGAGCACATGGAAAGAAACAGTCTGAATCAATGAAATAGAAACAATGGAGAAGATAAAGGCAAACCCAAATCTCATTCTTTGCCACCAAAAACCTGATAGACCTTTAGCAGCATGACTGGGGAAGAGAAGAGACACCGTTGTCACCGGGGAGAGCTGGAGAGGCCGCATGGCACGGACCCAGAGACAGCACAAGGGTGTCACCAACCACCCGAGGCCAACACGCCTGGAAACGCTCTGTCCTTCCCTAAGATGGGAACTGGACGACAGGGGACTGGACAAGGATGTCCACTCTCACCACTTCCCTTGAATATTTTACCAGAAATTCTTCCCGGGTAAGAAAAAGAGAGAAAGGACATTCAGACTGGACACGAAGAGGTCCGACTGTGACATTCGGGCTGTAAGACCATCTATGTAAACAATCTAGTAGACTCTACAGAAAAGTGACAGTGAGCACCAGTGTCACGGTTGGACCTAACGCTCCCAGCGGCTCCCGGGTTGAAGGCGTGGTTCCCGGGCAGCAGTGTCCAGGGGTAGGGCGCCTGGGAAGGCACTGGACTCAGGGCTCTACCTCAGTGGACTAACCCACGGGTGGAGTCATCTGAATGGACTCTCGGAGGTGGTGGGAACGGCAGGAGGTGTGTCTGTCCCTGTGCCCTCCTCTCGCTCTGCTCCATGAGGCGGGCAGCTCTGCTTCCCCGTGAGCCTCCTGACCATGCTCTGCCTCACCTCAGGCCCTGAAATGATGGCGCCAACTGCCCACGGACTGACTCCTCTGGAACCGACTCACAGTAACCCTCTCCTCCTCTGGCTGATTTTCTCAGGTCCTCGTCTCCGTGGCGGGGAGGTGACTGGCCATCAGGGAGCTACCAATCTGGGGAGGCAGCTGTCTCAGGACCAACACGCCAACAGCATCTTATTTGTATATTCTTGTTACAGACCATCAGCGACTGACCTGGACACTGCAAACTCTGGCCACTGCTGAGAAGGGCCAAAGAGGACCCAACCGACGGGGAGAGACGGTGATCGCAGGTCCGAAGACCCAACAGTGTGGACAGCAAGCCAGTTCTCCCCAGGCTCATCTCTGGGTCCAATGCAAGCCCGACCCAGACCCCGGCAGGTCACCAGAGTGAAAAGCTAACCCTGAAGGTTTGGGAGTCAAAGGACGGGAAGAGCCAAAACAGCTGGAGGAAGAGCAAGGGCGGGCAGGGGGCTCCACACCCGGCCTGAAGCCCCTCTCTCTACTTTGCACCATATAAAAATCTATTTTGAAATGTGTTTTAGCCCCAAGTCTGAAACCTCAAAAAGTAGGACTTCTGGGGGAGAATCCTGGTCCTGGGCTGCGGAGGTCCCTTAGCTACGACACTAGATGCGTGACCTAGTCCCAAAGAAGCTGGATTCATCCAATTGTACCAAATTTCTGCTCTTTAAAGACACAACTGTTAAGAGAAGAAAAAGGCCAGTCAGGGCAGCAGAGAACCCCTGCAGCTCACGGATCAGGCTCCTGTGCCAACCAGAGGGAAACTGCAGCCCCTCCAGGAGCACAAGCAACCTGAAGCTTTTTTTTTTTTTAGGGCAAAATATTTAAACAGACACTTCACCAAAGATGGACGACTTTACCGGCCACATGGTGGGTGGTGTCTGCAGGCTCTGGTTTTCAACTGGCTCACGGCACAGGCTGCCTGGGGTTCTGAAGCCTCCCGGCTGCGGAAGGGTCTGGGGTCAGCAGGGAGACAGGCCAGTAAGGGCTCTGGTGGCCAGAGGCCAGGTGTGGGTAGTCCTGCAGGTAGGCCCCGAGGGCTTGCTGGTGGGAGGCACGAGGGCTGGAGGCGTGAAAGGACGGGGCTGCCCTTCACTGAGGGGCCGCTGGGGGCTGGTGGGCAGGAGTCTCCTCCTACAGCTGGGGAGAGGTCCGTGGGGAGGTGAGTCTGTGGACTCAAGTCTAAGCCCAGGAGGCTGGACGGGGACAGGCCAAGCCCGAGTCTGAACACCTGGGCCACCCTAGCGGCTCCCTCCTGGCCACTGGCTGCAGGTCCGCGTGGTTCACAGCGCGAGGCCACGCTGAAAGAGGTAAGGTGTGGCCTCCCGCACACACGTGGGGGCAGGGCCTGGTCCCTTGCAGGTGAAGGGTGCCTTCCCAGCAGAAGCCCAGTTTGGGGTCACCTGGGAGGCCAGGGACAGTCACTGGGTAGGAGGACCCCTTGCTGCCCCTCCAGCAGGGCCAGCTGCCCAGCCATGGAGGCAGCTCTCTAGGGACACAGGGGCAGGGGTGTGGTCGTGACCCCAGGTTTTCCCGCAGCCTTTGCTGGAGTCTTGTGAACAAGGGCGTCCGCCACTGGCCGGAGGAGCTGGGCACCTGGCTGCGCTCCTTCCTCAGCCCATGGCTCCGCCGCCCCAGGGTGCCCTTCAGAGGGAGCCCAGAGGCCGCCGAATGGCGAGGAGATGGAGCCTGAAAGGGCCCGTGACCTGGGCACATGAGCTTTAGAAGCAGAATGCGGTAAAGCCCCTGAGTGGGAATGTCACCTCCACAACCCAAAACCTCCGTGCACAGGGGCTCCGTGCACAGGGGCTGCTCCCCGGCTCCCTCCTGCCCTTGGCTCCCTCCTGCCTGGCTCCCTCCTGCCCGCGGCTCCCAGGGCTCTGCCCAGTCCCTCCCGCTCCCACCCACATTCCACCTTTCTAGAAACCCTGCTGGCTCCACCTTCAAGCAGACCCCCACCCACCAGGTCTCCCTGGCTGCTGCCACCGGGCAGGGTACTGAGAGCACCTGCCGTTCCGTGGCTCACCTTGCCCCCCCCCAGCCAGAGGAGCCCCTGCCGTTACCCCCACTCTCTAAGCCTCTCCAGCCCCCACGCTGGCCCGGGGTCCTGCACAGAATGCGCTGGCCCACCCCTGGGATGTCACACGTCCTGCTCATGGTCAGACAGGGCCTCCCCCATCTCCTGAGCAGGCGCCCCTCTGCCAGATGCCACCTCCCAGGGGTCTCCTGCTCCCTGTCCTCTGCAGCCTCCCACCTGCCTTCCTCCTGATCTCTGAGACACCATGTCACCTGTTGGCCCTTGGGGCATGCTCTTTGAGGGCTTGGTCCAGCCTGCAGGAGGGCCAGGCAGGGAGAGGCAGCTGGACACTTGCCCTGGCTGCCCCGGCCTTGTGTGTGACAAAGCCAAAGTTCAGCTGGACCTTGTCCAGAGCTCAGGAGGAGAGGCTGGCCTGGGCTCAGCTGCCCCCTCTCCCTGAAGAAGGAATGAGAGGCACAAGACCCCCTGCCCAGCCTGGGCCTCGGCTCTGCCCTGCCCTGCCCTCCTGCTCCAGCCTTGCCGCTGTGGGCGGGGGGCTGCCTCTCCCACTCCCCAGTCTGCTTGGGAAGGACCTCCCCAAGTTCTGCCTGTCCCCCCTGCCCAGTCCTACCCTGCAGCTTTCCTGAGCTCTCACAGCCAAGGAGCCCCCCCCCCCCACAGTGCAGTGGTCACGAGACCCGAAAGCCCCCGGGGCACCTGCAACCCTGGACAAGAACAAGAGTGCACTTAGCATCCTGATTTAATAAAAAGATTGATCATTTTAAAGAACTTTAACTGGGTTTGGATCATTTCATATTTTTATTTAGAAAAAGAAAAAACAAACTCTAACTTTGGAAGAATTTTAAAACAACAGATTCGCTTCTCAGCTAAGATATCTGGGGGGTCTTTGTGGGAGGGGGTGGTCTGCACTGTCCTTGGGTGAGGGATGAAGGTTTCTCAGGGGCCAGGTGAGGTCAGTGCTGACCAGGACAGTCCCCGTGACACAGAGAAGCAAAGCCAGGTGCTGGCGGGTCCTTTTCCAAGAAAGGAGAGGAAGAGGCGAGAAGGGAGAGGGCCACCACCCCACGCCAGCAAGACAGGCAGCTCACACCTCACCCACAGGCACAGCCACTGACTCCCGGGGTGGCCCCGTCCAGGGGACCCAGAGAGCTAGGACAGCTAAACTGGAAAGGCTCGGAGAAGGAAGGACCCAGCTACCAAGGAACCAAGGTGCAGCCCTAGTCTAGCTCTGAGGCTCCTGGCAGCCAAGAAGAAGAGGCCTGGGGCTCAGATGGTGCCCACTGCCCAAGAAGAGGAGGCTGGGCTTCGTGGGAAAGAGCCTCTGCCCAGCCCCAGACTGTCTTCACCTAAGGACACTTAGGAACGAACGCAGGGTCCGGTGGCCATTCTTCTTTGACCAGTCCTCAGGCTGCGCTGGGGTCCTTGTGCTTGGCGGGCAGGATGGTGGAGGAGGGGCGAGCAGAGAGGGCCCTGCTCAGTGGAGTGCTGGTGAGGGGCGGGGGAGACAGGGAGCAAGGTCAGGGCGAGGGTGCCGGCTGCCAGGCTGGGTGTCGGCCAGGAGGTGAGCACAAGATGGAGAAGCTCAACTGGGCCACCAGGAAAGGGCCCAGGTCAGGAGTGTGCCCTCCCCTGGAAGGTGGCGCCACCACCAACCAAAGGTGACTGGGGTGATCTCACTCGGACAGCCACCTTGTGCCGTGGCAAGACCTCTCCCAGAGGGGTGCTCATGGCCACGTAGGAGTGGACAGGGTGGAGTGGGCGGCCCTGTTGGGACGGGGATGAGGACAGGGAAGTTGGCTGGAGGTGGAAGAAGGAGTTGGCCACGGGTGGAGGGATGGGTGGGAGGAAGGGAGGGGAGGCGGAACAGGTGAATGGGAAAATGGATGGGCACGCGGACGTGAGGATGGATAGATGGACGGATGGATAGACTAGGTAGTGGGTGGATGGTGAGTGAGTGGGGTGGGTGGATGAGTGGGTGGAAGGAAGGGAGAGAAGGAGGGATGGGTGGGGGGCAGGTGGGTGGACGGGGGGATGGATGGGTGGGTGGGCTGATGACAAGTAGGTGGGTGGAAAGGTGGGAGGATAAATGGACAGATGGATGGACAGGTCCACGGGCGAGTGGGTAGGTGGGTGGGCGGGTGGACTGGTGGGTATTAGGAAGAAACCATCAAACTGTGACAACTAAGGAACAGCCCAGTCAAGAGGAACCAGAAAGTCCAAGCTGATGAAGAGAACTGAGGCCAGAGCCCGGAGCCACCAGATGCGCCTGGAGGGCAGCAAGTGAGGAGGGGCAGGCAGGCCCCCGAGAGGACACAGAGGAGCTGTCCTGACGTCCCCTGGCTCTGGGAGGGCGAAGGGACCCCGTCTGGTGGTGAGCACTGCTCACAGCGCACCTGCTCCGACGCTGGCCCTGGAGCCGGGAGGCAGGGCCTGGCCCTGGGGGTGCCCCCGCCCCCCGCCCCCCAGGAGGCCGTACCTTTGATGTGCTTGTCCTGGAACTCTGACAGGAAGCGCGTGATGCGGTCCGAGGGGATGGCAAAGGAGATGCCAGCTGCAACCTTGAGCGTGTTGATGCCAATGACCTCGCCATCCTGGCAGGGCCGTCAAAGGAGGGTGGTCACACGAGGGAGCCAGGCAAACTGCTGCCCACAAGGCATGGTGCCCACAGCCTCCTCTCCAGAGGGGGCCCTCGATGCCCCCATAGGGACACTCCTGGAGTAGCCCCAACTGGCCTGAGGGGTTGCTCCTGGGTTGTCCCCCTTCTGCTATCTCCAGAGAGACCTTCTCCGTCCTGGGAGCTCGAAGTCGAGGCCTGCCCCCTGCCCCACCCTCTGCCCTGGGCGGTAGTGCCCCTGGACCCAGGATGCCAAGAGAGAGGGAGGGCTGTGACAGGGCGCTGTCTTCGTGTCTAGGAAGCAGGGGGCAGGGAGTGGGGCCAGGGCAGCCCCACAGCATGCCTCTGTCCCTGAGCCTCCCCCTGCCTCTTCCCCAGCCACCAGGACCTCACTCTTGAGAAGAACCTCACTCCCTCAGCCTGGGCAGCACCCTGGGCCTGTGCCCTGGCCAGGGGTGGGATGTACCTTGAATATAAACCTGAGGGAGGGAGGCCCAGGGTGACGATCGCCCAGACTGTCTCCTGCCCCACGCACTCAGGGCGCTGTTCTCGGGCAGTGCACTCTGGTGGCAGCCACGGCCCTTGAGGGCATGGGGCAACATGGGCCTTGGGGCTCAGTCCCCTCCTGGGCCTCTGGCCCAGCCGTGCTCCTGTCTGTTAGGTGTGTGGGTTCTGGGGCCTGACTGTGGGTCCTGTCCCTGCCTTGAGGCTGTGCCCCGCTGCGAGCAAAGCCCTGGAAACCAGACGCTGGATCTAGGAGACACTCACCAGGTTCACCAGGGGTCCCCCGGAGTTCCCGTACTGCAGGGGAGGAAACAGGTGTTAGCTCTGCCTGAGCCCCAAGCGCCCCTCTGCCCGGCCCTGGCTCAGGCGGTGGAGACACAACAGCGCTCCCCCCGCAGCCTCGGCTCAGCCCTGCCTCACCCACAGGAGAGCTGAGGCCACAGAGGCCACGCCCACAGCCCTCTGAGGACCCCTCTGTCCACCAGCGCTCTCCGCGCAGGCCCCCTGCTTTGGTGTCTGACCACTGGCGGGCGGGGGCAGGCACCTTCCCGGTCCTGCTGACCTGGCCCGGGGTCCCCATAGAGACTAACGGTTCCAGCCCTGGGAGTCACGCAGGCCCGGCGGGCGTGTGCCGCACTGTCTGGGCAGAGCCCTGAGAATGCAGGGGAGGCACCACAGGGAGGTAGAGGGCCCAGCTGGGCACAGCCCGGGCATGACCCAGCATGGCAGAATGCAACGCTGCCCGGGGGACAAGGCGTCCAGGTCGTGGCCAGGCCTCCCCATGGCTGAAGGACCATTAGGGTCTGAACCCCCAGGGTGGCCTGGGCACAAGGCCCGGGTCAGCACTGCTTCTGGCAGCAGTGAGGAGCTGGAACCTGCTCCGGGGACAGGAGCGAGCCAGGTCTTGGGTGTGAACAGGGTGTGCCGGGCCTGGCGGCCTCCCCTGCTCTGGGACTCACGTTGATGATGGCGTCTGTCTGGACGTAGTCCATGTCTGAGTCCCGGAGGCCCAGCTCCCTGCCGTCCCGCTGGGCGGTGCTGACGATGCCCGTCGTCACAGTGTTCTGTAGGGCGAAGGGACTGCCAATGGCCACCACGAACTCACCAGGCCGCAGGTCTGCCGAGTGACCCAGCAGCAACACAGGGAGCTTTTTCTGGGGGGACGGGGAGAAAAGAGAGGGAGGCTCAGGTGACCTGAGTTGAGATCCCAGTGGGTGGGCCCAGGGAAGCCAGGGGCAGCTGTACAGGGAGGGCCCCATGAGGCCGAGCCAGGCCCCAGCATGGACCAGGGCCAGCACAGCGCCAGACCCAAGCTGGAGTCATAGAACAGAGGCTCAGTAGGGCTGGCCACGTGGCCCACCACGGGAAGGCACAGAGGGCCCAGCTGGGCACAGCCTCTGAGCTCCTGAGCCTCCTGGCTTAATGGCCACAGGACCCTCTGGAAATCCGGTGGTGCCTGGGGTGGACAGCTCTGCAGGTGCCAGAGCCAGCTGAGGACCCCTCGACACCCCACCTCCTGACAGACGCACAGGGCACCCGAGTCCCGGGGTGAGCTGATGTGGCCACCCACGCCAGCCCCAGTGCCCCTCTCTTCACGTGGGGCTCAGAGCCTCTGTCGGACCTGTGACTGGGCTGGGAGCTGGCAGAGGGGCCAAGTCCAACTTGCTCTGCACTCAGGAGCTGCAGGGAGGCTCTGAGGGGTGCCCTCGAGTGCCCGTGAGCAAGTGCCAAGGTGCACACACAGGGCAGGTGACTGGCAAGAGCCAGGCAGCCCTGTCAGTGGCGTCCACGTCAATTCCAGGGTCTGATCTGCCTGAGTAGCCTGAGACGTCACTGCTGGGGAGGCTGGGGAGGGCCACCTGGGACTGCCTGCCCACGGCCAGACCACATGGGCCTAGCTCTGGAGGGAGCAGGACGGCTTCTCACCTCTGGCCCTCTCCTCCTGCCCTCTGTTCTCCCCTTGCCCTTCCAGCCCTGTTGGGGGCCTCCATGTCAAATGAGACACCTTCCTGGGGGGCAGTTTTCATAACAGCTGTCCGTGGAGAAGAGGGGGCATCCGCGGACGGAAGCCACACGGAGAGACCCCGGCGGGTGTGGGCATGGACCCCTGTGCTCTGATACTGGCCATGAAGCTTCCATCCATGGCATGTAGGGGCCCAGGAGGAGGAGCCAGGCCACCCATCGGAAGGCGGGGACCCAGAGAGCAGACCTCTGAGAGGCCAGAGGGCCAGGGTGGCTTGTGTGCAGGGAGGCCCGAGACCGGAGCTGGCCAGCGGGGAGGCGGAGCCACCGCTGGGTTGGCGCCACGAGGCCGCCAGGCTCAAGGGGGCTTCCCCTGGGGACATGGCAGGAGGTGCTGGCCAGGGGTTCAGTGCTGGGTTTCACTGGCTCGGGCAGCACCTACGGGCACAGGTGTCCACGAGAGCATCTGCTCTGCCCACCTGGTGTCCACGCTGGCTGGTCCCTCAGGACAGTGCCATGAAACCAGGCGGAGAGACCCAGCCGGCACCGTCTGGCTCTCCCCTCCCGGCCTGGGCCCCGGGGCAGGGCCAGCTGTGGTCCTCAGGCCACACCCGCTTTGCCTGCGCTCAGGCTCTGCTGGGCACAGTGACCTCACCCTGGCCTGGCCGACGGCCCCTCTGGACATCAGCACAGTCGCCCAGTGGTGACAGAGACCATGGGGCCCCAGCCCACAGCATGACCACCAGGCGCGTCAGGGGATGGGCCGGCTTCTGTCCTCGAGCCTGCTCCTGCCAGGACTCAGGTTCCCTGACTTTAAAGGGAGGTGACGCCCCAGACTCAGCAGCTGGGGGTGAGCCGGCTCAGGTGCGGGAACTGTCTCCAGCCTGTCTTGGCAGGGCCACAGGAGGTCCTGCCAGAGACCTGTCACTAGGAGTGCTGTCCACCTGTGTCCAGGGGAGGGGCCAGACCCCAACTCAGCACCAGGGAAGCCCCACGTGCAGGCGCCCACCAGAGGCTTAGTGACTGCGTGACAGTCGCGGAGGAGGCCACGGGAACCCCAAGGCGGCCTAACGACCACACTGGGCACCGCGAACAAGCCCAGGGGAGGCCCAGCGTCTCGGCTCAGCCGGCTGACCCTGCCACACTTGGCCACGGTCCTGGAGTTACCTGCCCTCCCCCAGCCTCAGTTTCTCCGTCTGAGATTCCAGGCAGGGACTACCTGAGTAAGCACGGCTTGTGCCCAGCACCAGAAACAGAGTCCCTGTGCCGGGGCAGCTGTGCTGGGCAGCCAGAGGCAGGGGCAGATGCCGTGGAGGGCGAGGTGGGTGTCTCCAAGGCTCTGGCCTCAGTGGCCACATGGGACAGCTGCATCTGCAGGAGCAGGCCCCAGGTGCGCCCATGGAGCCCCGTCCTAGGGAGTGACGAGGACCTGGTCTTCCCGCTGCTCACCACACACTGCCTGGCCAGTCACGCAGTCTTGCTCAGTCCTGCGCCTGGGGCCGGGAAGGGCCGGGAAGGGCAGGGCTACAGAGACCCAGGCTCCAGCTCTGACTTGGCCAGTGACCACGGGACGATTGCTGGTGGCCCTCAGGACTCAGTTCCCCAGCCGTCCTGGGGACGTTGGGCCGGGCATCCAGAGGCCTGGGGTCAGGAAGAGGCTGCCTCACGGTGTCCCTGCTGTCCCTGAGCTCACCTTGGGGTGGATCTTGATGGTGGCAATGTCAGACTTCTTGTCGATGTCCTTGATGGTGGCCTCGTAGGAGTCTCCGTTCTGCAGCTGCACCTTGAGCTGTTGCCGGCCTGAGGCTGAGTTGGTGCTGGACACCACATGGGCGTTGGTGACGATCAGACCCGCCTCCGACATGATGAAGCCCGAACCGCTGGACAGGGGCACGTTGCGGCCAAACAGAGGGTGTCTGCAGAGCGCAGGCACAGGGGGTGCGCAGGGCCCCCCTCTGCCACGGGGAAGGGGCAGGCAGCCGGGAGCGGAGCCCGCGTGGGCGAGAGAGCACGGGCGTGGAGTCCCCGGGCTGCGCAGATGGTGGCTGTGTCACCTACAGGCCATGCCCTGGCCATGAAGCTGGGCCCGCCTCACAGCCATAAAGAAGGGATGGTCACCTCCAGCCTGCAATTTGCTGCGATGAGCACCATGCCCGTGAAGGCCTGCGCGGCCCCCAGTGGCACTGTCTGCCCTCACGGGGCCCTGGAGCCAGACAGACTGGACCCTGATGGCCAGGCCCGCTGATTAGCTGCAGCCCTCAGGTAGGTGTCTAAGCCTCGGGCCTCAGTCGCCCATCTGGAAACAGGCTGTCTGCGTCAGGGCCACACCCACCCAGAAGGGAGGGAGGGGCAGCAGAGGCAGCTTGGGGCAGGTGGGGCGTCCCGGGTCCCAGCACAGGGCTGGTGCAGGGCAGTGCACAGTCCCTGGGGCTGCTAAGTGGACGGGGACAGGGGACCAGGCCCTTGGGGCCTGGACCAGGCAGGAGAGGAAACACCAGGAGGAAGGCCTGGCACATCTCAGGGGCACAAGGGCTTCAGCAAGGTGCAGAAATAGCCCCTCAGACAGCAGCAAGGCCACCGGGCGGCTCCAAGGTGGGCCAGGCCCGCACACTCGCGGCCGGTGTGGGCCTGGGCACAAGCGTTAGTCCAGCACCTCATGCAAACAGGGTCTTTGCCGCTGTAATGAAGTTAAGATGAGGTCACGCTAGAGCAGGGTGGCCCCAAACCCAGGGACTGTCAGATACAGGGACACGGGGGCACGGGCCAGTGGGTGGACTGGACAACACAGCACAGCCCAGGATGCCAAGCGCTGCTGCCCACCAGCAAGGACAGAGGCCTGGAGCAGGCTCTCCCGAAGCCCAGGAGGGATGAGACGGGCGCACCCTGATGTTGGGCTTCCGGCCTCCAGAGCGGTGACCAGCCCTCTGCGGCCAGGCCACGTGGTCTTGACCCTTCTGTCAGAATCCAGGAAAACAACGCAGCACATGCCCAGGGAAGCCCAGCCCTGCCCGGGTCAGGCCACGGCGACAGGCAGAGCGTGAGTTTGTGTCCAGCTGCTCAACCACCCTGCGCTCTGAGCCTGGCACTGTCCACTCCCGGCTGTGACAGCCCCGTCCTGCCCAGCTGTGTCACCTCCAGACGCCCTGCACAGCCCCCGCGCCCAGCACGTGGGGTTTGCAGACAGGGCCCGAGGGGGTCCTGTGGTCTCCTCCCCGTGCCCACACCTAGGTCAGGGGTCACCATCCACTCAGATCACTGCCTCCAAGGCCAAGGAGGGACTGGCACTGCCACCCCCCAGGCCACCTGCAGTCAGTGATCAGTGGTGTGGGGCTGGTGCCCCCGCTCTGCGGGGAGCTGGTATGGCTGTCCAGACACAGAGGGACAGCGAAGTGCCACTTAGTGCACCCAGTTGTAATTTCCTCAATGACTTGTCTCGGCCCCCAGGGAAGGGCAGCCGGGGGTCAGCCTCTGCACAGAGACCGGTTCCACCCTGGGGTCAGGAGCCCAGGTCAGCCGCAGCGGGGCCTCCAGCTTCGCGGCAATCTCAGGCCTGGGCTTCGGCCTCCTGGAATGGGGACAGCAGAGGCCCCTCCTGGGGCTCCTTGGGGCTCCGTGGGCCTGGGACTGTCCACCAACGCAGGGCGCTCTGCAGGCCGCTGGTCGCGTGGGCCACGGTCACCCGTGCACTGAGTCCCGTGAGTGCCCATCTCCCTCCCGTAGGAGGTGGACACCCCCAGGGCTGCGCTGAGAAACTTGGGCCAAGCCGGGGCACCGCGGGGAGCCCGGAGAAGACCTGGCTCTGTCCCAGGACACCAGGGACGGCGGGGTGTGGAGCCCGGCACCTGCACTCACTCCAGGCCAAACAGACGGGCTCCAGAGGCCCCTCTCCTCCCATCCCTATGAGGACAAGGACGACGGGCTCCCGCCAGACTCCTGGCCTCACCCAGGGCCTCACCCAGGGCCAAGAGTAAGGCAGCAAGCGCTCTGAGCTCGAGAGACGTCGTGTGGGACCGTCTCCTCTTCCCCAGGACTGCACTGGACACAGTGGCCAGTGACTGGGCAGGGCTGGGGAGCAGCTCTGAAGGCCCTGTAATGCTGGGGCGGGGAAGCTGGGGCAGGAGGCTGTGGCAGGACCCCGGGGGGACCTGTGCTCCCTGACCCTCCCTCCCTCCGCACCCCACCCTTCCCTCCCTCCCACTCCTGCCCCTGCCACACTGGCCGGCCACCTTGGTTGGGGCCAGGCTGTCCTAGGCAAAGCCACTCTGCCAACCCCCTTGGGGACCCCACTCGTAGCTTTGGTGTGGCCTCCGGGCCCCCAGGCAGCCCACCACCCTGATACCCTGCAGCTTCACCCTGGAATCCAGCCGAGTTTGGGCCCCAGCAGACAGAAGGGACCCAGGGGACATCAGGAAGCCACCGGGGTGCAGCAGGGCCCCACGCACCTCAGGAAGAGCTCGATGTGGACCACGGCTGGAGCGATCTTCTCCACCACGTCGGCGATGAAGTTGAACTTGTACCGCGGGCTGGTCAGCGGGTGGAGACCTGCACTGACAGAGGCAGCCGGTGGTCAGGAGCCCTGCGGCTCCCAGCAGCCCTGACTGTCCTGGGGAGGAGGAAGCCCCACCTGAGACCCCCCTATTGGGGCCAGCCTCTGCATGTGCAGAGCCTGGGGTACCTCACTGTATGGTGTCCAGACACTTGGGAAGGTGGCCCCTCACCCTGAGGACAGGTAAAGAAGGCTTCTGCAAGCTGAGCATCCTCAGATCGCCTCCCTGGACATTGCTGAGCTAGCCAGGAGGCTCAGAGAGGCTAAGACACTTGCCCTGGGTGACACAGCATTGATACTGGGGCCAGCGCTGGGCTCAGTACCCTGTGCCCTTCCTCTCTGATGTGACAGCTGTGTGCTGGCAGGAAATGACCATTCCACCTCCTCGTGGGCTCTGCAGGTCCTCTAAGCCTGGGAGCTGGTGAGCACAGTGGGTGGGGAAGCTGCCCCCCGGCCCCAGGGTGGCCTTGCTGGACAGACGGTGACCGATTCCTGAGTGAACAGGGCCACACCTTCATCTCTCTTGGCCACAGTCCTGTCCTGCTGGCTGGGCGGCTTGTGAATTTCCCAGCTCGGGTCTCTGCTGCCCTTCGCCATGGGCTGCTGCCCACTAGGCCCAGGCTGCAGGCAGGTGGGGCAGGGCCCAGGCCTTGGCCTCTGGTCTCCTGCACTGGCCTTGCTGACACCCCCAGGTCCCTGGCCCCTGTGCTTCTAGGCAGGCCCCTGCTCTGGGCCTGGCCCTGGCTTGGCTGGGCAGGCTGCTTCCAGCTCTGTGGCTTCAGCGCTTCCTTACGCACCTGGCCCGAAGGTGCCCCTGGGCCTGCAGGGACAGGTGTGAGGGTGACTTGCAGACTGTGACCCTCCCTGCCAGGGACACCACCACATGGACACCCAGCCACCTCAGCTAAGGCCCAGCCCAGAAAGCACGGTGTGTAGCTGAGACCCCCAGGTCACTGGAGGTGGGGACCGCAGACCAGAGGACACCTGGCTTCCTGGACCGTCCAGCCCACCTGCTCAGCCTGAACAGAAGGCCACCTGTCAGGGGTGGCCAGGGTCTGAGGGGAGACGCCAACCCCCACGGGCTCCTCACAGATCAAGCTGGTAGGTGCGGTGGCCCTGGGCCCTGGACTGTCCTCCCGGGAGCAGCTCTGCAGGGTCCCCGGTTCCCAGACCCCTTCACCACTGCCTGGGTCGGGGCTGCCCAGGCTTAGTACCCAGGGGACCCCTGACCCTCCACACAGTGGGTGGCCAGGCCCGCAGCTCCTCCGCATGCCCCTGGCTCTGGGCAGGGCGGGGACCACGAGGAATCTGCTCTCCCGCAAGATGTCCACAGCACGGAGGCTCTGACCGGCTCTCGGGCACTCCGAGGGGTGCCCAAGCATCTGGCAGGGAGGGCCCCCTGCGACCCCCTGCGTCTGGGCCTGTGAGCAGCAGGCTGTCTCGGGGAGAGGCGCTCGGTCACCCCGACACTGAGGCCGATGTCACCCCTCCCCAGTGCGTCCTGCCACCTCTGCCCTGCAGGACCACCCCCACTTCTCCTGCCTCCCCAGGGACCCCCAGCCTTCTCCTGGTGGAGGCTCCCCCCGGGCCCCTGGCCAGAGCCCCAGCCCCCGGGGCTCCCTCCGCCCACCTGGCTCCGCTTCCCCAAGCACCTGAGGACCAGGGCGGGACCCGCCAGGGGAGGACCGCCAAAGACAGCACAGTGTGACGGGAAGCTCAAGGGCGAGGCCCGGAGTCCAGCGGTGCCCAGGCCAGGCCCGGGAGGGTGGGCACAGCACACGCAGCCATCTGTGCCTGTGCCCTGAAGACAGCCCTGGACACTGGGCTCTGGCAGCCTGGGACGGGGCCCCGTGTGACAGCACAGGGTGGGGACGTCTGTCCACCTCACAGGGGTGATCAGACGCTCAGGTCGAGTGGCCTCCCCGCTGACTTTATCCTGGACTGCAGAGGAGCTGACCCCGGTCAGAAGCCTCTGCAGGCCGCCCCGGCCCCTGGCTGACCCTGCAGGATCCCCACAGGAGCGGGGTGGGAGAGCGGGGCAGGGCCCACGTGCCTGGGCTGCTGGCTCTGCTCCGACTCAGCAGAGGCCTGGACGGCGTGGACAGTGGCCCTGCTCCTCTGTGCCTGGGGACCAGCACCTCTGCACCACGCCACGGGCGCAGGCCGACGGGGCTTCACCCAGCACGGGAGGGGTGGGCTGCGCTGCCCGTTGACCCCCCAGGCCAGCTGTCCGCCGTGGGCCAGGGAGGAGCAGGGCAGGGAGGGGTGGGCTGCGCTGCCCGTTCCCCGCTCACCCCTCCTGCGCCCGGCGTGGACTCTCCAGAGAAGCCCTCGTCCACCTGGCCCCCCACATGAGCCCCTGGGGACAGAGATGGGTCTGGGTCACCCCACACCCCAGCAGTGACCAGCACAGGGCAAGGCAGCCCCCAAAATGCGCAGAAAGAGGGAAGGAGGACGGGGTGCTCTGCCTGGGGCTCCTCCAGGACCGGGAGGGCCACCCACCACACCAGGGAGGCCCAGCCGTTGCCCTGAGGGCGCAGCCGGCCCACGTCATGGCCCAGGGCGGAGGCTGGGAGGCAAGGAGCGCGCGGCGCTGGCAGCCCGAGACCCCGGCCGCCAGGCTGGCCCTTTAAGCCGGCCCCACACAGATGAGTCAGGGTGAGTCAGTGGGAGGGAGGCAGCGCTGGGAAGAGGCTGTTTATTTGGGGTTTTGACAACCCCACCCCCACGCCCGCCTGGGCCCCGGCTGGTTCAGCTGCTGCTTTTATTCAAAAATAAACTAAACTGGAGTCTAGGGAAGGCCTGGAGGTTTGGCCGGGAGGAACTGGACAGTGAGGCCCAAGCCAGGTGTCCGTCTGGGCCTCTGGAGAGGAAGGGGCACAGCCAGGACCGCGGGAGGCTGGGAAAGGGACAGAAGCCCCGTCTCAGGGCTCCACCCCACCATTCCTTCCTGGCAGGCTTCCAGGAGCACTGAGGGACAGTGGCACCCCCTGAACTGAAGATTTCGTGCTGGTTCAGGGCAGTCAAAACTGCCAGGAACAGACGGGGAAACTAAGGCCCTGAGTGGGAACGTGAACGAGCAAGACGCCCTGCAGGACCACCTTGCCCTGCTGCATAGGTTCTGCACTGCACAATTCTGGAGCCATTAACAAAGATCATGTGGCCTGCTTCCTGGGGGGCTGCGCAGGGCACAGCTGTGTGCATCAGCCCTCTAGCTCCTAAGGGACACAGCCAGGACACAGACCCAGTTCCCTGTGTCCGGCTGCTTAGGGGTGAGACCCAGCGTTGCTGCTCCCCATGGCAAGACCCCAGAGTCCCCCGAGGCCCTCACACTCCTCATCTGTGAAGGGGATAGCCGGCACCCTCCTTCCCTGGGTCGCTGGACGTCTGAGACGTCCGCTAGCGGTCCACACGCGGGGGCAGGCCCAACACTGGCCGGGGGGTTCCTTAGGTAGAGGGCGTGTGCTAGCCCCTGGGAGGTTCCTGGTGAGGCGCGGCCCAGGGCCCGGGAGCTAAGGCGGAAGGCGGCAGGTCCAAGGTCGGCCTCACAACTCAGCAAGACCCGGAGCCAAACCAAGCAGGGAAGAGCAGCGTGGGGACAGGAGGGAGCAGAGGGGGCACCTGGCGGGCACCCTGCCAGGGAGTTCCACTGACCCCTTTAGCCCCAGGTTGGTGGAACTTGCGCCCAGAGGGTCAATGACTGGACCCACGGGAGGCCGGGAGGGCTTCCTGTAAGGGGAGGCCCGGGGTGCTTGGCCTGAGTGGCCTGGGCCGTCCAGCACCCCGACTGGGGATCGAGGGGCCTGGCTCCATCTGGACACAGCGCGGGTCAGTGGGTAGGGCCCCGTCTTCCGCAGGGTCAGCTCAGCACGGAAGTCCACAGTCAGGAGTCAGGCCGGCCCAAGCCAAGGACAGGCCAGGGTTGGACTCTCCTGGAGGCTGGACGCCATCTCATGAGCCAAGGACCAGAGAGTGGAGGGTCAGGAGTTGAGGGGCCTGGCTGTGTGCCTTGGGTGGGTCCCCTGACCTCTCTGGGTGGTTCCTTGTCTGTGAGGTGGACTAGCGATTCCCGCCTCGAATCAGCAAGATCACCGGCCCTAGCAGCCCGCCTGGCGCCCGGGCCCAGCCAGGGCCGTCACAGTGGCTGTAGGAGATGCAGCCCTTGCCCTGGGTCTGGGCTGCAGCCCTCCCTGCCCTGTGTCCCCCGCTCGGGGGGAGCAGGCTGGATCCGAGGTTCTGGGGGTGGGGCAGGAGGGACAGAAGCACAGAGCGGCTGGGAGCCCCACAGAGCCCCAGGGGGCTGCTCCCAGAACATTCCCTCCCGCCCTCCCTGCTCACTGCTGTGGGCCAGCCCAGGGTGCGGGCCAGGCCTCGGAGACAGATGAAGTGCTGGGCCCGAGGGCACAGTGGACACAGGCCTGTGAGGCTGGGCCCCGAGGGGGCACCGCTGGCCAGGCCTGGGGTCAAAGGCTAGGCCACTCCTGGTGCAGGACACTGAACAGGCCCGGAGCTTGCAACCCACGGACAGTGGCAGCTGGAGGATGGACACCTGGTCCCTCAGTGCCCTGTGGAGAAGTTGCCACCGTGTACAGGCCGGGTGGGCACCGGGCAGAGCGGGCAGAGCCTGGCACGGGCACGTCCTCTGGGTTCCTGCTGCACCAAGGACGAGGGTTAAGGTCCGATTCTGCTTCTCTCAGGAGGTCACTTCCTGGGGTGCTGGGGGCCAGCACCAGACAGCCAGGCGGGGGCCGAGGCTCGGGCACATCTGCCCCTCCACAGAGGGGCGGCTCAGTGGGCTCCCGGGCCTTCCCCGTAAGGGGCCGTGACGCCGGGCGCCCGTTCCCCAGCACTCTGAGGTGGAGACCAGAGGATCACAAGTTTGAGGCCAGCCTCGGCCACTCAGCGAGTCCGGCCTCACCGAGGGCTGGGCTGCAGCTCGTGGTGGAGACCGGGGGGTGCCCAGGACCAACACAAACAAATACACGCTCCCCACAAAGACGCCCCAAAGGTGCGTTTAGGGCTTTTCAAGCCGGTGCACAGTCCCTGAGTCACCCCGTCCCTCCCAAGCCCCGGTGGCCGGCTCCTCCAGTGTGAGCCCGCAGGAGGCCTTCGGCCTGGCAGAGGGGCCGGCCACCTCCCGCTGCAACTGGCACCGACCTCGGGCCCCCGGAGCCAACACACGGGCCTGACCTCACTGCCCAACAGGGGCCGGGCAGCAGGCCACCAGCACCTTGCTCAGGCCCCTTAGAGTGGACTTGAAGGCAGCACCTGGGCAGGTGAGGGGGGCTCCTGGTCTTGCAGTGAGCTCTCCTCACCCGCTGGCCGCCAGGACACCGACACCACCACCAACACCGACGGCCACTGCACCGGGTCACCCGCCCTCCACAGGCTCCAGACGGGTGTCCCCTGGGCTCTCCCACCCGCTCCCCCAGCACCCCACCGCCACTCTAGGCCCCACCACCCGCCACCCTCCTGCCACCCCAGGGCCTCTGGAGCTCCCTCCCTCAGTTGTCACCCCTGCACGGGGCCCATCCGCTGTCCTGGCCACGCTGGCCACCGTGAAAGGGCCGTCAGCCACGTGGCCATTCTGTCTGCAAGGACCCAGCCTCCCGGGGCCCACCTGCCTCTGGGGCCTCCCTCGGGCCCCCTGTGCTGGCTTCTCTGTGGCTGTTTCCATGCTGCCTCCTCCAGGAAGCACTCCCTGATCTCTCCCTCTCCCCGACCCCATCTGGCACCTCACCCTCTGTCACTAACAGCACAGGACTAGGGACTTCACAGGGGCAGGGTGATGGTGGGCAAGGAGCGGAGGCCAGATCACACCGGGCCTGCAAGCCGCCTCGGGGGTCTGTTTGGTGGGTGGAGCCATGGTCTTGTAGAGGGCGAGGGAGGGGACAGCCTGGTGGGAAGACCCAGGGCAGGAACTCCTGACGCCCCCGACCCCAGGCTGGTGCAGGAGCAGCAGGGGCAGGGAGTTCCCGGGCCCCATGCTCCTCCCTGGCTGGCTCCTGGCGCCCGGACGCTGTGGCAGAGGCTCTCGGGCTCTCCGTGGCCCGTGCAGCTCTGAGCCACCCAGGCCCTGAGGAGGGGGCACCAGCTGCGGCAGCTCCTCTGCGGCCCCAGGAGGGAGGCACACAGGAGGCAGGGGCTTCACCTCCTGAAGGGTCCCGAATGCGGGACTCCAAGGTCTGCAGCCCCGAGGCCGCAAAGAGGATGGAACTCCAAAGCCACCGGAAGGGACGCGCTCCCACAGAGACCCCTGGAGACGCACGGACCTCTGGGGCAGAGTGCCCCTGGCCCTGACACCACGCCAAGCCACCGGACTCTGAGTCTGAACTCAGGGTGACCCAGCAGGTGTGGAGCCCTGGGCACACGTCACTCCGCTGACAGGTGTCCCCATATGGGAAAAACGCCTTAGCAGGGAGAGGGCGGGTGCTCCCAGAGCAGGTGAGCCTCCGCACGGCGCTGTGGGGTGGACGTCTCCTGGGGACCCTCTCGTTTTACGTCACCTACTGCACGTGGCAGGGACCAGAGCTGGCCCTGCACTGTGAGGCTCAGAGTCCGCAGAGGAAGCAGAAGGGTCAGTGCAGACCCAACGCAGGTGATGCTGTGGCGCTAAGGGTAACCTGGGCGTGGTGGCACGAGGGCAGCCCAGGGCCACGGACACCAGGCCACAGCAGGAAGAGGGACCAGCCACCTGCTGTCAGGGAGGGGAGCTTGGCACTGGGTACAGCAGGTACAAAGGTCCTGTGGCCCTGCAGAGGAAAGCCCAGGGCCCCAGAGCACAGTCCTCATTCTAGGCAGACCCAGGCCAGGCCTGGCTCCTTCCTGGCCGCCACATCACCCTTCCCAGCCTCTGTGGCACATCCGGGTGTCTGGCCCCAGCACCCTCCATATGGAGGGGCCTCTGTACGTGCAGCTCTGCTGAATCCTGAGGTCTGTGCCCTGGGAGACAGCAGCCGGCCACGCACAGTCCCCCCAGGAACAGTGGCCCTAGGGTGGGACCGCAGCCCTGAGCAGCCACCAAAGCTGGGTGACGCACTGGTGTCAGTTTCAAGGTCCCGAGCAGCCCTGACCCTCTGGCCCCCCTGGCCGGTGGGCTCTGGGGCAGCACGTGCTCCTGGGCCCCAGGCCCTCCTGTCCCTTCCAGGGAGCTGCCACTCATGTGCTGCTCAGCTCAGGTGCCCCCTCGGGGAGCCCTCCCGAACCCCCAGATGGAACGGATGCCAGCAGCAGGACGGCACAGGACAGAACACCTCGGTCCAGCAGTCGAGCGGAGCTGTGGGAGGCGCTGCCCACAGGGGCACAGCTGGCGCACGCTGGGCTCGGGACGCCGTCTCTGTGGGTTCCTCTGCAGGAGTGGTGACAGTTCACCCACAGGTGAGGACTAGAGGGTGAATAAGGGAGGTGACTCGGGGGAGAGGCGCTGGAGACCAGCGGTCAGCCCAGACCCCACATCCATAGCCTCCTGCCTCCCCGAGCAGCCTGCCCATGTCCCCGATGGTCTGTGCCATGTCCTTGTCACCAGCCCGGGGCCAGGCAGCAGAAGGAGCGTTTCCAGCAGCAGGCACCTCTCTCCTTCTGCCCTCCCGGGCCCTGAGCCTCATCCTGATGGCGACTGCCCAGGCGCAGGCTGGAGGTGGCCCCGCCACACACGAGCTGCAGTGGGCAGACGTCGGGTCCCCGGGACCTCTGCCCCTCACAGCGAGGTCCTGGAAGGACCAGTGCCAAGCCCCTGGGTAGGTGGCCCGTGAGGCACAGGGGACCTTCCCAGATGCACGTCCATCGCTGAGCTATGGCAGTGCTGTGCCCCACGCTCCGCGCCCCGGGCAGTCTCCACACAGCCTGGCGGTCACCCTCTCCTGCCGGGTGTGAAGAGTCTGCTCCAAGCCCAGACCTGAACCCCACGGCCAGCGCGAGACACGGGAGGGGCCTTGAGGGCCCAGGTCACGAGGGCCCCACACCAATGGTCTTGAGGCCCCGAGGGAAGAGGCACCGCACTTGGCCCACTCCCCACTGGGCCAGCCGGCCCCCTGCCTGGGCCGCGTGGACCCAGGCTCTCCTGCCCTGCAGGGATCACGGCCCCACCAGAACCCAGCCTGCCCACGCTCCATATTGGGCTTCCAGCCCCCGGAAGCGTGAGAGGTTCTGTCCCCTGTAAGTAACCCAGCCTCGGGGACCTCACGGAACCACCACAAAACAGACCAGGACACAACCTCGCCCTGCGTGTTCCCCCACAGGATGCCCCAAGTCCCGCCTGCTGCCCAGACCCGCAGCTGCAGGAGGAGGCCCGGCCTGCGCGGGGGCCCCACCAGCACCCCTGTGGGAGGACCCACCAGCACCCCTGTGGGAGGGCCCACCAGCACCCCTGTGGGAGGACCCACCAGCACCCCTGCGGGAGGGCCCACCAGCACCCCTGTGGGAGGCCTGGGGTTACCCCGATGCAGCTCTCCTCAGGTTCTGCTCCACGCTGACGGACCCAAGCCTGTGGGGGTGGTTTCCCGACCTTTCCCGACCTACAGCACCCTAATTTTTAGAGTGCTGGACACAACTTGGGGAGCTCTGGCCTACAGGATGAGGACTCGAACAGTGGCAGGAGCCTTTGGGCCACTCACCTCCTGCCCAGTCTCCAGTGTCACCCCCTAGCCCGCGGCTCCGTGCTATCTGCACCTCCCAGTGGGGCTCACGGTGCTGGCTCGGCAGAGCCTAGAGTGTTCCTGCAGGTTGTTCCTGCAGGTCTCTCCCGCCAGGGTGCCTCCCCACCGTGACCGCGAAGATCTGGCCCACAGGGCCCTCTGCAGGCTCCCTGAGCTCCGGGGGCCTCAGGCCATGCCCCGGCTGCACCCAGTCTCTGCCTGGCTGGCTGCGGGCTGCGGGCCCAGGGTCCCGCCCATTGCCACCTGCCCAGGCTTTGGCACAGGGCTTCAGCAAGCACCCCCCAAGCACCAGCCCAGCCTGACGGCAGGGCTTTCTAGCTCTTCCTCACGCCCGCGGCCATCTGGGGGGCAAGAAGCACTAGAGCCACTTGCAAGTCAGAAGGGGCTGTCTTGGGGACTCAGGGGACACCCCCAGGTCCCCAGGCAGCCAGCTGGAGAAATGCCTGGAGCCACCAACAGAAAGAAAGAAGTGGTGGTGTCACCCTCCGGGACACAGCCACCAGAGACTGAGGACCAGGAAGGACAGCCAGCGCTCTGACAGCCAGACAGGAGGGGCAGGGGAGGTCAGTGTGCCAGGCCAAAACCTGGAGGAGCCCACCCAGGGGCTGGGGACCAGGGGGTCTGGAGCACCCGGTTTCACTTTGGTGCATTGTGTGTGGCCTTGAGCACGCTGTGGCATCCCGGGCCTCAGCGTCTCCTCCTTTCTTCTGGAAGGCCAGGGGCTAGCTGGCCGCTTCTAAAGGGCAGCCCCTCGTGCGCAGGGAGTGGGGTCCTGCGGCTGGGCGGTCCTCTGCGCCTGGGTCCCGGGCCGACCACCCCGTGCACCCCGTGCCCCGTCCACCCGCAGGCTTACCCGATGGGCAGGCGCCCTTCTGCAGCTGGCGCACCGGCGTCCCCGAGAGCTGCAGCGCGCGGCGGCTGGCCGCCAGCAGTGCGCACACGTTGGCGTAGGTGTGCCCGTCGGTGCCACACACGGCGTGCGACCCTCGGCAGCGGCACACGCCGCGCGCGCACTCCAGGCCCTCCCCGCACGGCGCGTCCAGGGGCCGCCCGCAGGGCTCGCCCTCGCTGGCCGCGCACACCAGGCAGCAGTTGCAGAGGTCGGGCACGTAGCCGCCCGGGCAACGCGGGCTCGGGCAGCGCGACACGTCGCAGCGCGCGGGACACGGCGCCGCGGGGGGCTCCCGGGCCAGCGCCAGCGCGGCCAGCGAGGCCAGGAGCAGCGCGCGCCTCTGCATGGCGGGTCTGCGGCGTCGGCGGGGACACCGAGGGCGGCGGCTCAGGCGGGCGCGTGCCCGGGGCGCTGGGCCGCTCCCTCGCGAGTCTGCCGGCCGCGGGCGCCTCCGCACTTAAGGCGGCCGCCCGACCCGCCCTCGCTGGACGGCCGCCCGCGCCCGCCGGCCCCGCCCCGCGACAGGCCCCGCCGGCCTGGGACTCAGCCTGCCTGTTCCGGAAACTGCGAGTGACAAACCCATGCGTGAGGACCTGGGGAGGGAACCCGCCGGGAGCACCCCAGGTCCAACCGCAGGCTACCCCCCAAAAGGGGCGAACAGTCAGGATGTTCGGCGCCCCTCCCGGCCCTCCTTGGCCAGCACCACCAGGTCTGCTGCAGACTGCCCTCCTGGCTCCCGCTGCCCCTGGGGACAAACACTGGGTCAGAGCTGCTGGAAGCTTCCCCAGGTGTCCTGGACCGTGGTCTCCCTCCAGGCTTCCGGGTCTGTGTGTCAGTCTGCCCATCGGGTGGAGTGCCGTCTCTGTCCTCGGCGACTCTGGAATGGCCTGGCAGCCCCAGGCCTCAGTTTCCCCTCTGTGAGGAGGATCTAGTAGCACTTCCCACATGGCAGAGGCGTTGAAGTCCCCGCTGACATTGCTGGCACTCAGTGCTGGGGTCTGGAAGCTGGCTCCTTTCTCACTGTCCCTCATGCATTCTCCAAAGGCCACCTCAGACCAGGGCCTGCCCCGGGGGCTCACTCTGGTGACTGGGACATCAGGCTACCCTTTTGAGGCTGCAGGAATCAGAGAGGGCACCTCCTCTGAGCTGAACCTTGGGTGTGCAGGGTGCAGGCCCAGATGGCAGCTGCCCACCACCTGGGCTGAAGCCGAGGGAAAGCAAACAGGGCAGTGCCTCCCGCAGCAGGAGACCATGGTCTGTGCCTCATGGACCCGCAGCTCCAGGGCCTCACCTCTGGCCACCTGGAGAGCCTGCAGAGCCCCCCAGCATGTTCTCAAATCCCCAGACAAATGGTGGCGGTGGCCGGGGAGCAGTTCCTTTAAGGCAGTTTCCAGACTCCGCAGAGCAGCACCTCGCAGCGAGTGACCCTGCCGCCTACCTCACCAGCTGCCATGGGTGCCCATGGGATTTCCAGGCAGCACTGACTGAGCCGAAGGGGCTGGGAGGCCCACAGCCAGCAGTGTGCATGGAGACCCCGTCCCCTAGGCGGAGGAGTCCCAGGGACAGCAGGGGCTTGGCTGCCACACCACGAGGGAACGCTGGTCTTCATTTGGAGTCGGCGAAAATGAGGACTTTTTTCCATCCAAGTTTATGGACACCCAGGTCAGGGGTGCAGGGGCACTGCTAGGAGGGGTGGGTCAGACTCCTGGGGCCTCCTGTCCCTGCAGGCTTGGCTCTGCTGGCGATCAGGCAGGGGAGTGGCCCGTCAGACAGCCGTGAGCACCCAGGAGCCCCAGGGGGGCAGTGACCTGTGAGGTGAGGGGGGCTTCAAGGCCAAGGCAGGGGGCTGGGGGGGAAAAAAAAAAAAAAAAAAAAAAAAAAAAAAAATTCTGCAAAGGACCACAGCTGCATTGCTGCTCTGAAGCTGTGGCCGGTTCGGACCACTACTTGAATGTCCTGGGTGGGGCCTCAGGGCTGGGCTGGGCTGGGCGACCTTGACCCTGACCCAGGCTCCTGCACCCCGTCTCTACAGGGTGACTCAGGCCCGAGGGACAGAGGGTCAGGATGCCAGCCTCTGAGTGTGCCTGTGGGCATGGGACCCAGAGCAGGCTGTTTGGGGGCCCTTGGTGTCCTACAGATGCCCGCCCAGAAGGGGGACACAGTTCCCTGCCAGGATTGTCCAGGACACAGAAAATCAGGCCTTGGAAGCACCCGAGCTCCTTAATTCAGACTTTTCACGTGCAGGTGGGGAGACGGTCGCCGGTTCTGCTCTGCAGACAGGAGTTCACACACCCTCTGCAGTGTCCAGGGGGCGGGGCTGCACGCTCTTGGCCCCGGGTCCTCCAGGGTCCCCAGGTGGATTATCCACCTCAGTGCTATACCTGCCCTGAGAAGTGGGCATCGGAAAGACGGGCAGGAGGGGGCCAGAGTTCACGCAGGCTGGTTCCCGTCCAGGCCTGTCTCAGGTCAAGTGCATGCTCTCTCCTCTTGACCACACCGTCTCCCCTGACCTGACTTACAGCCACTTAGCAAAGGGAACGTTTAGTCCCCTTGTGCAGAGACCGCGACGTGGAGTGCAGGGACACAGTTCGGTCTGGTTTCCTTTCCTACTGAGCAGGCCGCAGGGACTTGCTTTGTTCTTTGCTGAAGGGGCCCCGCCCTGCGGGCTCCTAAGGGGAGCCCAGGGCGGACTGTAGGGGCAGTGGCGCCCCCTGCTGCTCCTGCCCTTTGCTGTCTCTGACCCTCCCAGAGCCCTGGCCTCCTGGGCAGGACTGTCCTGAGGGCCTGGCATCTGCAGGGGATCTTCCTGGTCGGGGCCCCTCTTACTCCCAGGACATAAGGGGACACAGGCATGGGACAGCCTCTGCTGCAGTCAGCATACCCAGGCCCTGGCAGGCCCCTGCCTGATGTCAGCCCTGTCCCCCGGGCCATGGTGGGGACCTTGTGATGCACGCAGACCCATCACACGTGTATGCCTGCTCCCCGGCTCCCCCCACCGAGAGAGACATTCTTTAAAACAAGACCCGGGAAGCCACAGGAGCCCACGGGACCCCTCCAGCCTGGCCAGGTCTGCTCCCTTCAGGGGCCACCGTCCCTCGGACGGGCCCAGGGCAGGACAGCAGGGCCCTGTCGGGGCCTCGGCTGCTGTCTCCAGCCTCCTCCACGTGGCCCCTCCCGAGCCCAGACCCCACAGTGGGTGAAGTCATGGCTTACGTCACTTTGGGGACCTCAAAGACCGTCCCTGGCCACACCTCAGCCTGCGATAAGATGTCTCCATCTGCGCTAGCGGGTGACTCAGAGGGTGGCCCTGCTCAGGGCTGGGGTGGAGAAGATGTGATGAGGACACAGACTGACACCCCCTCCCTGGACTCCCTCCGAGAGGACACCCCGAGCCCTCCTTCCTGGGTGTGTCCAGGCCTCCTGCCACCAGTCCCTGCACCCCTCTCTGTGCCCACCATGCATGTCCCTCCGTGATGGCCATGGCTGGAGCTCCTCACTGCCCCAGGAGCCCTGTAAAGTAGCTGATATAAGGCTCTGTGTTTTGCAGGTGAGGCAGCCCTGGCACAGAGAGGTGGAGTAACCTGCTCAAGGCTGCACAGCATGGTTCCACAAGGGCAGACACAGGATTTGGATCCAGATGCCTGGCTCCAAACGCCTGCCCTAGGCTGGCCTGTGGTCCATCTGGCTGCTGTCCCATTACCCATGCACAGTGGACACTGTGGTGGAAGGGAGCAGGACTGAGCAGGGACCGCGGGGGCTCCTGGAGTGGGCAGCACGCAGGAGGGGCCCAGGGCAGGTGTCCAGGGAGGGTGCTGGGGCCCAGGCCTGCCTCCTCTCAGAGTCTTGCTGAGCTTGGGGCTGGGTGCAGGGGGCAGAGGGGGCAAGAGTGGAGGGTCAAGAAGGACAAGCCAGGATACAGGTGAGAGCCTGTCCCCCCGGGGAGCCCTCGGTGCAGAGCAGCACAGCGTGGCCATCTGCTGGGTTCCCATGCTCTGGCAGGGAGAAGAAATGACCAGCTGGCAGGGGGCTGCCGGGGGCTGGGTGGGCACCTGCTGCAGGGCCACATGCCTCAGCCCACCCCCACCCCCCGTGACAAGCACAGCTCAAGCTGCCTTAGGCAGTGGGCTGTCAGGCCTCTTTCTGATGGGTCCCGGCTCTGGCATCAGGCGCGGCCTGATCCAGGCCCTCGTTGTCCTGCAGCCCCTCTGGACTCTGCTCCCATGGTGCTGGTCACAGTCTCAGGCTCCGGTGGTCACAGGTGGCTGCCATTGGCCCAGACCCTTGCCCTCTGAGGGGCCTTGCCCCCAGTCCCAGCAAGAGGCAGTGAGCCACCTTGACCCTGGTGCTCAGTCCATCCTTCACAACCACAGGGTGCAACCTCCAGTCCAGCTCCTGTTGGGCCCCTGAGGCCCTCCTCCTGGGATCAACGGACAGAAGCTGTGTGGGTCCGGGAGCAGGAAAGGCAGGTGGACCTACGGCCTCCTGAGGGCCGGCCTCTGCTCCCTCCCCATCAAGACTGGCCCTCGAGTGGTGAGGGGCTGTGCCTTCCGCAGAACCACACTCTGCTCCTGCCTCCCGCCTCTGGAGGTGGCCGGGCCCTGGGGGCGCGGGCCTGCTGCCCCCCTTCTGCTGGGGCACCCTGCAGACGTCAGCCTGCCCCGAGTTGTTGCTGGTCTGTCTGCTCTGAGTGGCCGTTGACCCTCAGTTTCCCATCTATCTGGAAAATGAGAACCGAACTTCTTCCAGGGGTCCCTAAGCACCAAAGGGGGCAGTGGGCAAGATACTAAGAGACCCCTGCCCCACCCTGTGTGCACAGCCACCACAGCCTCTTCCTTGGAGCGTGGGTGGGCCTGACCTCATCAGATGAGCCCCATCAGGCATCTGTAATTCTAGCAGCTCAGGAGGCTGAGGCAGGAGGACTAAAGTTCTAAACCAGCTTCAGCCACTTAGTAGATTCTGTCTCAAAATTTAAAAAATAAGAAGGGCTGGGGATTTGAGAAGAGGCCCTGGGTTCAATCCCTGGTATAAATAAATAAATAAAAAGAGGCTGAGCCCTTCAAGGGGAGAGGTTCACGGCATGAGAGGCTGGAGGCAGGAGGTGAGGCAGGAGGTGTGGCAGGGCCCAGGGGCCTCAGGGAGCCGGTGGTCCCTAGCTGACAGCCAGAGGACACTGGGGACTTGAGTCCTGTAGCCACAGGGAGGTCCGATCCGCCCACCAGAGAGCCTGGAAGCGGTAGGCCACCAACAGCTGATGGCAGCCCTGGGTCCCTGGCCGAGATGGCCCCCCCCCCACAGAAGCCAGGACCAGCTGCGGGGTGGGTGGGACTTGCCCCCGGGCCCCTAGAATGGAGGCAGGGCCTCTTGGTGCAGAGAGGTGAGGCTGAGGCTGCCATCGGGCAAGGGGCCTGGGGGCCTGGAGGAGCGAGGTCCACTGCACCTGTGCCCCTGGC